GGTTTCAGTTTGTCCGCTAGCCATTTCTCCTTTTATGTCTTGCTAAACTTTTCTTTGTTTGACAGAATGGATGGCATTTTTGCAATGTAATCTGTTCTGTCCGTTAGAACAACGCCAGTTCCTTTATCCGGCCTCGTTATGAGGATATCTTTATTCTGCCGGAGGTGTTTTAGTTTCTCCATGTGTGCCTTCGTTAGTAGACCCCGATGTTTCTGAACACTGTTTAAGTACTGATAGGAGCAGTTAACTAGCTTAGACTTAAAGTGATGTAAGCTCTCGGTGGAAAGTGGCTGAAGGTCATGCGTTTGATTCGGCAAGTTCTCCAACTGTTTCCAGCTGTAGTTGGTTGGGTTTCTGGTGGGGACAGCAAAAATTAGGACCCAGTGATAAGACTTCGATCTAAGTTTTATCAAGTGATATAGACGAATATTTGTTTACGCACCGACTTGGGTCATGAGGAAGCTTCGATTGTGGTGTACACTCTGAAGGAGAGAAGTTGTCTATTTTTCCCGCTTCTTCCCGATGGACTGTACGTAATTTTCGAATTTCAGTCTTTCATCTTGGCTTAGGTGGTCGAGTATGGCTGAACTTTCGCACAAGTGACGCTCTAGTTCTTCCACTTTTACACGGATGCTTTCTAGTTCATTCTTGGCATATCTTCTCAAGGTATAACTGGTAATAACCGTACGGCTCCTTCACATTGATCTCCAGTAGAAGTTCTGGTACTCATTTACCTCGACACATCTGCCAATAAAGTTGGCCCATACTATCGCCTCCACAAGTTTGGTGTTGATTCGTAGTTACCCATTGAGCGCCTTGAGTGCCATCTCTGCATGCATTTGGAGAATTCCTCTTGGATAAATTAGGTACTTGCATGTTAAGCCAACAAACCCCTGTGGCAAGGTAGCGCGGTATCACAGACGACTTAATGTGAAGCGTTGTCTTCCCCAAAAAGCCAATACAATAGCGGGCACGTATAGTGCTCATTGCCTGAGATTTCTTAAGATATTAGTGAACAAACCAGAAATGGCATACTGGAGTGAATTTTTTGACTAAATGTAAGCATTTGTTATAGAGGTAAATTAAAGTTGCAACATTTCAAACTCCATCAAAATAAAAGAAACGCAAGTAACTCACTAAAAATATCAATTATCCTCTAAAGTGGTAGATATCTAGATGCCCCATCACGGGTTTTGGGAGAATTTTTTTTATCGATGGGCTTGGTTGTTTAGGAACCTTGATTCCGAAGTAGCCTGAGCGAAATAAGAATAGGAAAAGGCGGAAAAAATTCTACCGGATGGACATTTTAAAAGCGTTTCCCTTTACTGTTATAAATGCGTCTCATGCACATTAGTCCGTACTAGTCAGTGTGCCCTTGACTACACAATCATCAGTAAATCTCCTCCATTTAAATTTTCAGACAAATTACCCTGTTGGAGCAAGTGGAATATCAGTGAGGTCACTCTGATCGAAATTTCCACCACGCCTGAAGCGCTTGTGAGATTTGCTTTCCGTTTCGCCAGGCAACACGGTTCAAATCCCAATCAAATGGATCTGGCAATCAGAGCCCTTCTCTCCGCCTGCACTGCAGACTCCCATCCGGTGGTAGCAGCTAAGCAAAAGGAACAACAGATAATTTCACTGTCTGGGCGTGCTGTCAATCAGATTTTAGTTCATGTAGGTGC